GGGGGGGGGGGGGGGGGGGGAGTCTACCACCCTCCTTTCTTTTTGTGCTGAGCAGCAGCCGAGAGGCCTAGAGGAGGAGCGAGGCTGATGGCTGCGCGGCCTGGCTGCTCTGGTGCTGCCCTTACCCAGCCTACCACACACCTTCCCCCACCCCGGGGCGGATAACTTCCCCTCCTTGCCCTTCTCTAAGGGTGTGTTGCTTTGGGGTGGGGGGAGCTCCGGAAGGTCCTGGCCAGAGGGGGGGAAGCGATGGTGGCGTCTCCACACCAGGCCTTGATGTTCCCAGCGCTTCCGTGCTGCTGCAGCTGCTGGGAATAATGGAGGTTGCTGTCTCTGTGTCTCCCTGCCTCACTGTTTACAATATGGCGACCTTCCTTTAAATTATATTTTTATTCTCAGCGCCATTTTGGCTGCATATATGACTTCCAAACCCTTGCAGCGCTCCCCCAGTATCTCAAACGTGGAAATACCTTCCCTGTGGAAATCCAGGCCTCCAGACTTTAAAATTGGACGGGTTTATTCCTTTCCCTCCTTTTTTTCCTTCCTCCTGACCCTTTGGACCTGCTTGTCTCATCCGTAGGAGTGACTGCCGTGAATTGGGGGCAGTCGGGTCCTCTTGCTGGGAGTTGCGTGGCTTTGTTGATGAAGGCAGATCTTCCTGCATGCAAATCTGGGTGCCGTGTGGGAGTCGAGGTGCGTGTGGAGGCGGTGGCAAAGCTCTAGTCGGTAGAGGCTGCAGCGGGGAAGGACTCTTGCTGCCTTCCCTCACAGCTTCCTAAGCTCTCGGCACAAAGTGACCTGCCAAAGGCACCTGAACTTTACACCCCAAAGTTTTTTCCTTTCTGCACTGGGAGCCCAGATGCATCCGAGGCCACCTTACCCGAATCTCCCCTTCAACAGTTGACACAGGCGGGCGGTTTGTGTTAAATTAGCGCAGCCAGAGTGGATAATGGAGTGGAGGAGGGAGCAGGGCAAGTCAAACAGCTGGAGCTCGGGCGTACAGAGTATTCTTCCTTAGGGGAGATTTTTTAACCACATTCCTTTCTCTCTTTCATGCTTTGGAGCTTTGTTTGCCACCCTGTTACAGCTGTCTCCTCTTTGCTTTTTTTTTCCTGTTGTTTTTTTTTCCTTCTTCTTCTTTTGCTTGGTGGTTATACTGTGTTTATATGCTAATTGCAGGTCTCTGAACACTTATTAAACTGATTGCTGATACCAGGAAAACTGACTGTGCGGTCACAGTTCTGTAGGGAGTGTCCCGTTAGCAGTGTGTAGCCAGACAAACCCGACAATGCTGTAGTGTGCAGCCATGACATCATCTCTCCTACCCTGAGGAAGTGCTACTGGTGGTGGTTGGTGCAGGTCCTCTTAATATTTACTAGGAGGTTACTTAATTTTTTTATTATTGTCCAGCCTTCTCGGTGAGCTTTAATTTAAGTTTGTTTTTCTTTTATCAGGCATAGTTGCTTAAAACTCAGTGTTTGCTTTCAGGTGCTGCTGAGCACATCCTGATCCTTCTCTTAGTGAGCTTGGGGCGATGGCTAAAACATCACGTTTTGAGATGGAGGAGCTGTGACTAATCCTGTAGAGTTTCCTGGTTGATTCTGAATCCTAGTTAAACCTAACCGTAAATGAGACCACTTTGTGCATGGCTTAAATCTGGCTAAATTTCACGGCTCCATTTGGCAAGTTTCTTATAGTTAGTGAGTGGGAAACAGTCATGTAAATGGGATATCTCTAAAACTTTGGCTGTAGTTGAGTTAGTTGCATTATAATTATAAAAAAAAAAAATCTTTGGCTAACTAGTCACCCTTCAGAACAGAAATGGAAGGGGCAATTCTGATTACACCTTCTCACTTCACTTGTTGCCTTTCCTGGGGTATCTCTCAGCCAACCATTTTGACAGTAGCCCAGACTCTGCTGCGGGAGGTGGCGTGGTCTGGAGTGGCACAGCGCTGCTGGATAGGCTTTGCCTGAAGGCCTCCGGCTTGGGCCTGGTTCTCCCTCCCAGCTTGCCGGACCTCTGTCTGTCGCTCGGCCAAGGCCTTCAAGTGAACCAGGTTGTTTCGAAGGGATGCTCAGGTTTTGTTTTCGTGTTTTCTTCCCTCTACCTCCTACATCTTGCTTAAAGCAAACTTCCATTCTGGATATACACTTAGGCATAAAGGCAGCACTTGCAACTTCCTTTCTGCCTCCTTTTTTATTTAAAGAATAGCAGCTGTAATGCAATTCTTGTTTTAAGTCATTTGAATAGCAGTTTAATATACTGCTGGGTCATACTAGCTGAATTGGGTCGACAGCCTACCTGTTCTTTAAATATTTATTGTAAGCTTTAGTACCAGGTTGCATTTATTGTCAATATAGCAAAAAAAAAAAAAAAAGCTCTTAATTGGTCTAGGATTTGTGATCAGTTGATTAAAGCTGTATAGGAGAGGCCATATTATAAAAGAAAATGAATAACAGGGGTGTGATCAGCCCAAGTCACGCAGTCGGCTGGAGGCAAACCCAGGAGTTAACCCAGCTCAGTGGCCCATAAACTGGTTTTGTTTCTTCCTGTGTAGAGAAGGCTCTTCTGTATCATGTTGTTTAAATGTGTAGAGCAAGTTGGTTTC